CATGGAAAATTCAAATAAAAAAACAAACAAAATGCCCATAGAGAATTCCAACTCAAGACCTTCTGATGTTCCAAACTGTACTTCAGCAGTTAGGTAATCTGGGACAATCTAAAGACTAGGGCACATATACTGGGTAGAATATGTGTATCTATAGTTAGAGAATATTTGTCATGGGCGTTTATTTGAGGAAATACAGTATATGGATTAGGGAACTGTCTATAGTAATTCATCTTGTTTTATACTCACTTATTTGTAAAGTCTATTTTGAGTTGGACTCTCTTCTCCTTTTCTTATAGTTAACAGTTGAAGCTGTACATGTACATGTATGTTTATACAGCAATACAATGTAATTTGTGTTCCTGTATACATGCACATGTAAATGCATTAACGCAATCTGTAACTTCAAACATTATTCATTAACCTCATACATGTACATGTACATGTACTTACTATAATTATTTTATTATCATTATCATTATTTTGTATTAACTTTCATAGGAAGAAAAGGAAAGGATCAGTGGATTATTGTTTCCCTCAGACACTCATCAAAACTGCACAAAGGAAGAGAAGCACCTCCTCCCCTTACCCCCTCCTACCCTATCCCAGACTGCCCCACCCTTAACTCCGCCCAGTGGCCCAGAACCCTCTAATACTGGAGAAGGAACTGGTCCTCCTTCACTATCAAGAAAATCATCCCAAAGGAATATTACACTACATATTCTATTACGGGGATGGCTCCTGGAATAGAGGCCATTAGTCCTCTGGATGTTACTGGTGATGATCAGTGTCCTGATGGTGAGGTATCTCAACCTCCTTCTCTTTCCCTCTCTCTCCTGGTCCTAATGTACCAGCTCTTCTCCTGTTGCTCCTGTTTCTATTAATGCATGTAGTTTTAGCCTTCACAAGACAAGGGATTTATTGATGTCCTTTCTATTTGTTGTTGAAGATTTGAATATCTGTCAGCTCCAATAATGATATCTTAATCACTGTTAGATCTAGAGGGAGTTTAGGAGACTTTTGGTCTCCCATATTTGGTCTGTGTCTCCTAAAATCTCTCATTTTTCAGCTTTTGGTCTCTTATGTTTATCTCTTGGTGTCCTTAAGTCTCCCATTTTGAGTTAATTAGATCAGTCTCTCAAAATTTATTTCTAGTTTTAACAATGATTACTGTAATACTACATGTACATGTACATGTACGTAATTTTGTATATTTAGAACAGTTTGATCTGTAGCACAATGTTCTTATGCATGACTTAAATTTTATTTATTTATTTATTCTCTTCACTAGATGTTTTCATCCAGTGGTGGCAGGATTGTGTTGATGCTCCTGTTCCTTACAAGGACCTACTCTCTCTCCAATAGGGTCACCAGTGGGAGGGGCTGGGTGGACCTTACAATGATAGCAATGAAATATCAGCTTTCTTTGATGTCCTCAAGTAAGAAATAATGATGACAATAATAATAATAGTAATTGCTATTTATTTATTTATTTATTTAGATCTTGTGCCCACGTTTTAGAGTATTTTGGAAGAATAGCAATCAATAAGAAATGGTTAGCTATGGGGCTGGGATAAAGCTTCTAAAGGTTTAAAGTTACATATATCCATTAATCATTAATCATATACATGTATATGTACATGGGTATTGTGAGATTTTTTAAAATGGCTGTAATGCAGAAAGTTTTACTTGGAATCAGCTCAAACTTGCTACACAGCACAAGGATGTCCATATGTATTAGAAAATTTAATAAAAATTTGGGGTGATTTTGGAGCCATTTTTTGGAAAAAACCATGGACTATTGGGTATTTTTTAGATTTTGGCTCAATTTTTAAAATGACCATAAGTCGAAAAATTGAAGTCGGAATTAGCTCAAACTTTCTACACAGCATAAGGACATCAATATAAATCAGAAAATGTAAAAATTTGGGGTGATTTTGGAGCCATTTTTTGGTAAAAACCATGGACTATAGCCTTGGGTATTTTTCAGATTTTGGCTCAATTTTTAAATGGACGTAACTGGAAAA